GTAAAGCCCTTCCAGCTTTTCCCATAACTCTTTGACCGTCTCTTCGGTACTTGTACTCACTTCACAAAGTACGTTAGGTGCAAGGGACAGTTGGATTGCACTCAATGCATCTCCTTCAATCTTTTCTTTGTCGGAATCCGATATCTTATCGGGGTACTTTCCGTCAATAGCATGGATTGAACCTTCCCTCCGCAGTAACGCTATCATCTGGATTTTCCAGATATTGAAGTTGTTGCGCCCACTAAATCTATCAATTTCAAACTTCATGGAACTCATTTTTTTTTACTTGTTCTTCCTTTTATACTACAATGTATTTGGAACTACAGAAAACCAAAGTAATCCTTTTCTGATGTGGAAGTTCAGACTGTGCTGCAACCACAGAGCATACTCAGACAAAACCTTGCTCTGATACCAATTGTTAGCGGAAACGTGAAACTAAAGAACAAGGAAGAACAACAATATTTAATGTGGTTCGGATCAAAATGATCCTACGTCCACCAAAGAACAACTGCACCGATATTTATTTCACTATAAAAGGAATATAAGTGAAATACTACAAGAGAGAGAACACAATGCCTTAGAAGGTGAGAAGGCAAGTGAAAGGATGATTTGAAAATGAATTAAGAGCTACCTATTTATAGGAATAAATTCATCCTATTGATGTCATCCATGACATCACTATGTGTCAAAATTGTCAAGGTTAAGATAGCAAACCATTTTATGGTTTGCCTAACTTTCACCTACCAAGATACAATCTTTGACTTGTATTTTGTACTAATTATCTTCCTACCAAATATTCATATTAATTCATCTTCCATTTAGTTTGATTCCACAAGAACCAAAACCAACTCTTTCACAGATATATCAGATTTCAAGGACAATAATGTAAGAAGAGATAAGATAGACAGATACCAGTTTCCAATATCAGATTCCAAGGACAATAATGTAAGAAGAGGGACATTATTTCACGTGACGATGGGGCCCAGATGTGTACCCGGCTGAGATAATAAGATTCCCTTTTCATTTGAAATCCGGAGTTTGAAGTCCGTCCGAAGACATCTATAAAAGCAGACATTATCAAGACAAGAAGAGATAGAAGGCGAGAAAAAGAAAAGACAATCACTATAAAAAACCTCTAAAAATCCTCATACCAACATCTTTACCATAAGTTATCTTTTGGTTTGTAAAAAAGTTTTCAGTTCTTTAGTGCTTTATTTTAGTAAGTTTGTTTAAGAAAAGCTTCTAGTAAACTTTCCATATATGTAAATTATGTGTGTTAAATTATGCGTGTTTATAAAACTTTAATCTTGTAAATTTATGAATATCATCATGAATCTATATTACTTAATATATGGTTAGTCTCTTAGCTTCTTATTTGTATCGATGGATTAACCTGTAAATTCCTAGGACATTGTCAGGTTAAATGTTCTGAGAAAGGAACTATGAATAACCAAATCCATGGTGTGGTTAAAGAAGAAAACTTTTAAGAATAAAAGCTAAGAGAAAGAGATGAACAGTAATATTAGATTTATATATATATATATATATATAAAATTTTGTATATTAACTTTAATGAGAGGTGTATATTCATATTTTTTTTCCAGACCACTCATCATAAAACTTAACCAGGTCAATTCAATGCTCTTAATAGCAAAAATGGATTTTGTTTGCGTGCACAACATTGACATGTGTGATGGAGACTTATGTGGACAAACAACAAAAAAACATCGGCACATTATATTTACCGGACAAAAAGTTTAATTTGAGAATTTCATATGATGATTTTATATTTTTATATAAAATCCCCCACAATTTTATAACTATCTATTTACTTTTTTTAATGAAAATGTCAAAAAAGTGATGAAATATTCACGGAATATAAACAAAATGATATAATTACTATAGACATTGATCATATGCAATTTTATTAAAGGTAATATACTATAATTTAGGTTCAATTTTATCACTTTATAGAACAAAAGTTCGATCAATAAATATTGTATTTTTTAGAATAATTTTGTGATAGTACTTATATTTTTTTGTCATTAAATTTTGCTTATTATAAGATTGTACAGAAAAAATTGGAATAAATTTTGTTAGTTTTCACAATTTACAAAATTTTATAAGCAAAAAAATGCAAACTTAGGAATTCAAACTGCATGCATGTCCAAACAAACTACAACTTTATCTCATATGATTTCATCTCACATGTCCAAATAAATCGTTATTTAGAATTTTGAAAATTAGATTTGAGGATAAATTTGTGTTTGGTTGAAGTTTTTGCAAAATAATAATTGTTGTTTATAAGTACTTTACCTAAAAAAAAAAAGGAGGACCATAAACTGTGATTTAAACATGAAATCTATAGTTTAAATAGATCAATTTTATAAAAATAAATAAATAAAATTAATTAGGATAACATTTAAAAAAAATAGTATTTCTTTCAAATTTCAAATACAACTTAAAATTAGTAATTACATATTTTATAATAAAATATTAATTTTCAAATAAAGTAAAAATATAAGAAGCGGAATAGCAATATTTAGCCTATATTAGGTACTATAGCTACAATTTAAAAAAATTGTAATTCACTGATACAATTTTCCTAATTCTTGTTATTCGTCTGATTAGTATAAATTCAAAATTTGTATAATTTGGTTCCTGATTATATAAATTCAGAAATGGTATATGCTTACCCTAGCTATTTGTATATTATTTAATACTCATAACAAAATTACTTTGTTTGTACATTGGCAAGCGAAATATACAAACGGAGTTCTGAAAAATTCCTATATGTATAGATACATAATTTGTATATACTTACCCTATTTGTATACTCGAAACTATAGACTTATAATTATGTTTGCTATTTCTAAATTTTTCTAAAAAAAATCGAGAAAAAATATATTTATGACTAAACTTTTTTTTTCTGATTTTCCACTCGATGTCCGGAATCCATATTGAAGCTCCAACTAAATTAAGATCGCGCACTGCATGACTCATTTCGGAGGTGCGCTTCCAACAAAATTTTCTCTATACTTCAAGCTCAAGTATAAGACATCTAGTTAAGGATAGAATATTCACACCACTGCACCACAATCTACGATGATAGTCAAGCGGATTACTATCAAATAATGTCATTAAAAGAATCTCCACCTTAGAAATAGGAAAAACAATATAATAAGACCCTCTTTTATCTTCCATATTTCTTCTCTTCATTCACCATTTACTTATCCAAATAATGTGACATCATATATAAACACATAATCAACTAATTTTTAAAAGGTTTATTGAACTAGTTGGATTTTGAGGTTATCAACAAGTGCAGCTAATGTCAATGTATTTATTTATATCAAGCCTTGAGGTGGACAATGGTTAATTTAACATTTTAAAACTCTAATTTTATGGACCTTAATATTTGGATAATATTTGTCTGGGGTAGGTGTTGTATCATCTCACAAACTTGCCTTAGTTGCATATATAATTCAACTAAATATTATTTTAAATCATTATGCCAAGTTGACTCTTTCATTATATTCATACAATATTTATTTAATTATACACACGAGAATAAGAAGTTTTTCATTTATATTATGAGTTTAAATAAATGGAACAGTAACTAATTCTTAAAAAATCCTATTTCCATACAAAACCTAAAAAATGGAATATGCCAAAAAACGTCACCTAGCAATCACAATATTGGAGAGGAACATATGTATATACTTGAAATCATACGCTAATTGACTGTTTGGATTGTAGTGGAGTGAATAAGTTTTGATTAGTTGAACTGGAGTTTGGAGATGAAAAATATTTACCTTTTAATTAGTTGAAATCGAACCTAAAATAAAAAATAATTAAATTTTTTTTTTTTTGATGATAGGTGATCGAGTTCGTCAAATCAAGGATAACTATAAAGTCTCAATTGTAGCAAGTTTAGGTTGGGTAGGTGAATTATGAAAATGCAGCTACATTCTCTACCACAAACTTTTTTTGTGTTTTTAACATGCTACATGAATCTCAAAGAATATGAAAGAGTTGTTTTTGTGTGGGGTTTAATCCATGTGGTAAATCCCATGTTAATAATTAGTGGAGGACAAATTTTGGTCTTTCTTTGTTAATAATATAAAGACATTTTTTTAAAAATTGGTGGAGGACAAATTTTGGTCTTTCTTTGTTAATAATATAAAGACATTTTTTTAGTGTAAATAGGATGATATTGATTCGAATTACGTTAATTTTTTTATTTTTTTTTTACATTCTGTTAACATTAAAGAATTCTTAAAATATATAAGTAGGTCTAAAATCTTTATGACAACATCAATTGTGGGCCTTCTAATGGGTTGAAATTCGTTTTGTTTTTTTTGTGAAATCTCTTTATGTTGAAATTCAATTTAATTGTTTGTAGCATCAATCAAATCTATTTCTCCATGGAAGGAGTTCAAGTTTTTGGGAATGAATAAAGAATGATTAAATGAGTCTTTCAAAGTGTTGGTATTGAGTGTATCAATGTCAACAAAAAGTGTCAAAATGACACAATGGAACATGGCATGAGGTGTCTAAAATGAACAAAGTTCAATTGAGGTGTCTAAGTGAAATTTTTTTGTCAAATTTAGAGGGTCATCGATGGTTCAGCCAACTAAGAATTGTTCAATTGCATGCAAGCTAAGTATAAAAGTAGCTAGAGGCAAATTCAAAATTTAAAGCTATTATACACGCAATGATGTTCAGAATGAAGAATTCATTAAGCAAGAAGAGTCCAAATTCCATAAAATTAATTCCAGAAATCGGAAGAAAATGAACCACCAAGTCATATAAGATTCTCAGTATGTTCATGTTACACAAATCCTAATGTTACAAAGAGTGGGAGACACCATTCATCCAGACATAGAAAGGATGACATTTATTCCACCTTTTATACAACAATACACTTGTTATGCTACACACAACAGCTCTGGGATCAATTAATTTGGAATCATGCTAACCATTTTCCAATTATTTGGCCATTAGCCACTTACTATGTCGAATTAATCTTTGGTAAAAACCATGCACTAAGGAGCAATAGCTTTCTCAACTTGACATGCTGAGAGACTACTAGTTCAGAGTTATAAAAAACCCAGCAAATTCAAGTCGGAAAATGCTGGAAACAGCTGGTTTAATACTGTTAGAAAGATGCCGATCAATCCCCCATACTTGCTCTCTCCTGTGTCAAGTTCCATTAAAGGATCAGAGGCATCACCAGAATCTCACCAGCATGCAATTTTAAGAGATATTACAGGTTCTTCTCTTACTGTGTGCTGTAAGCTCCTAGCCAACACTCTTTGGACCTTTGCGGGTCATTGGCAGGTCAAGGATAATCATGAAATAGCATCTTTCTGATTCTCTGATATATTGGATTTCTCCATTCATAAGCTTTAACATTTTTCTACACATGCTCAGTCCTAGGCCTTCCTGAGTTACCCACCGACTGCTGTGGAACATGTCTTGAACCAATTCAGGAGGAAGCCCTTCGCCAGGGCATATAATCCTATGTCAAAAGAAAAATTAGATTATTTTTAATAGAAAAAGTAGTATAGCTGAAACTTAACCCCTAGAACTCAATTTTTACTACACGGAAAGAGTTGATTCGGAAAACATAGTGCAATCTAGGATGCTAGTAAAACACTGGCAAGATGAATATTTTGGAATAACTCAACCTCCAGGAAAGCTAATATAGTGAAATCTAGGATGCTAGTAAACACCAAAACCTGCACAAGTATTTGCTTGGCAGTTATTAAGTACCACACTCAAGCACCATGATAAGGTGTATAAGATTAGATTTCAAAACTAAAACATTAAGGCTATGCTTCAACTAATTCCTATCGCTGACTTGAGATTATAATAACTTGGTTATGAAGTCCACCAAAGTTGTTGTATATAAAGGAGTTGTATTTACGCAGTTCATTAGAAGCTTATACTTCTGCTGTTTCAGTTCAAAACTGGAAGAGAAACTTAATAGATGAAATGTGAGTTTGAAGTGGAGAAGATGCTTTTCCTACTCCAAACACGGGAAAATTGAAGTGGAAAGAAGAAAGATGAGCAATGGTAAAGTCGAGTTAAAAGAGACCAATAAAAAGAAGAGGATGATGCCCTGATCATTTACCTAAGTGTATAAACTTTCACTTTATAGGTTGAAGATGCCACTGATTAGTCAAAGGAAGGCCATAGAAGAAGGAAAAAAATGATAAATATGGATAGAAAATGAGGTATAAAAAGAGAAGGCAGGGTAAAAGCTATGCGAAAGAGATGTGGTACAAGTCTGAAATGCACCTTTTACTTGAGTGTGCTCATATTTGATAGGCTTATAGCCCCTACTCTAAATTTCCACAAGGTCTAAACATACATGAAATTTTTTTATACTCCTTAACGTTACATTAATATTCATTGGATCATAAATCTCATATTCTGACATGCCTGTTAAAGCAATCAGAAATATTATCCACTTAGAAAATAACCCTGAAATAAATGACACAAGTAAGCAGCAGATGGCATTCAAGTGAGAACTGAAGACTCATTCGAGAACCATTTAAAAAATCAAGGTTGCATGAGAGGGGTGAGAGTTATCAATAATATAGTACATCTTCCTGTAGTTACACGAAGAGAAGATTAATGAATGTACCTGAGTTCAATATGCACAACAGTTGCTCCATCAGATATTGGCATCATACTTGGTCGAAGTTGGATCTCTACCCACCCATCAGGTGATGGTGCATACCGCACCATGTTCAACAAGAAATCTGCCAAGACCTGTTGAATTCTCACTTGATCACCATGTACTGTTAATGTCTTAATTTCCTCTGGTATATCACGGATTAACTGCACACCTTTTTCCCTCAGCAATAACATCACTTGGCTTACAACAGCATCTATTACACTCCCAAGAAAAAAATCTTCTTTCTCAAGGGTCAGTGAACTGTTAGAAGATCAAAGGTCAGTCAAATTCTGAAAGGAAGAAGGTTGCTAATACTACATAGAATTGAAATACAGACCCATAATCCCCTCCCGCAACCTACAGAAGAACACAACAAAAAAGAAGGAAATAATCCCAAATAGTTAAATTTCAAATACTACAATGCAGTGTTGCCAAAAGCAAAAAGCGCAAATAACTCTAAGGTCCGTTGGGGTAATAACCACAAGCACAAATTAAGTGTGGCCTTTAATGAAAGAAATATGCAAAAAAAATAAAATAAAGATATATGTATATATTTTGTCCGAGACTAATAATTATAAGAACGAATGACAAATATGAACAATGAAATTGAATTTTTTACACAAAGTGAAATATTAATTCTTTAGTCTTAAGAGGCTCATTGGCAAGAAAAAGTATACTTCAGAACCTTGATGACAACACTAAAGCACACATTAAGCTAGGCGAAGCGCTCAAAACATTTTGAGTCTCGCTTCAGGGATTATGCCCGCCTTTGACAACATTGCTACAATACCAATTGCAGGCCATTGTTCTTTAAAAGAAAATATCATGTTTATTATTTTTGACTATCTGTTTTAAGTCGAGGTTTGTTGAAACCGAACTCTCTACCTTTTTAAGGTAGGGGAAAGGCCTGCATACACTACGCTTCCATACCCACTTGTAGGGTTATACTGGGTATGTTGTTGACACCTGAGTTACACCAGAAGATATTATATCATGAATAAATAGCTATTCCCTGTATTCCACTTCATGTGAGACTCTTTTCTTTTTAGTCAATTTTCCAAAAGAATGGAACTTTTTATATTTTGGAAACAGTTTTAACTTTAAAGTTCCCACTCTATCCTTAATGACATGCATTTAGAGCCACATAAATAGTACGTTATGTATAAGGTCACATGTACTCAAGTTCAAAAATCTTTCTTTCTTAACCTCCGCCCATGAAATAGAGAAAGTATTAGTTTAAACTTTATTGGACTTCCAAAAATGTTGCCGCACCATGTCAGTTCCTCCAAAAATACATAATTTTGGAGGATCTAACATGCACCCAGCGCAATTTTTTGGAGGATTTGAGCAACATTAGTTTTGAAAGAACTTCTTAGCAAGCATAATCGAATAAGAAAGACTTACCCATCCTCAATGTTTTCCAGATCAACATCCCTTATGATCTTAGACATCTGCCTCTCACAAGCAGCACTTGTCTCTAGATACTGCTTCTGATATTCTGTCAAATTTGTGGCCTCCAACAATGAATTTGTAAAGCGTATACCATTAAGAGGACTTTTTACTTCCTGACAAATGTATGCCAGCTCTTTCATCTGAGAATAACACTTCTTTTCCTGTTGCCTTTGAACTCTTAGAGCTTGCTGCAATTCGGGACTGGCTATCTGTATAAAACAGAAAGCCCCAATAGTATCACCCTCCATATTGACTCTCTTGTTTGCTGTCAAAAGAGCTTGCACATATTTCCCATTTCGGTCAAAAAAGGAAAATGGAAACTTGTCTGTGTCCTGGCCTCCGATTGCATTATGCAACACGATCATGAACTTTGTCATGGCATCTGGGCCCTTGAGCCGACAACAACTTCCAAAAATTTCACCAACTAACATTTTTCCAACAATCTCCTCTCTAGACCAACCAGAAAGCTTTTCCATGGCAGTGTTCCACTCAGAGCAAGAAGTGTTCTCATCTGATGCAAATATGGGAGGGATCAGAGGATTGGGGCTGTGCACAATGGCCTTGTAATCACCTTGAATGTGAATAAACTTGTCCATAACAATTTTTTCCCCAGTAACATCCTGCCCAACAAAGGAAACACCAACAATGCTGTTTGTGTAATCTCTGCTGGAGCAAGCATTAACCACCAAAAAAACAGCTTTCTCCACTTGTTCAGCTCCAAATGTCCTCAACTTTATTTCTACATTTTTACCTTCCACGCCTGCAGTAGTATGACTACAATATTAGTTTATTTTTCTCTTTGGTTGTCTGTTGCAGGAGTTGAGTAGAAAAGGAGCGGAGTTGATGCCAATTATTTCAGTTACAAACTATGTAAGAGTCAACATACGCACACAATAGAGAGAGCAGGTTCCCTACAATCAGGAATAAGCCTAAATCTGTACTGTACAAGAGATGGTTTTTGTTAAGCAAGAAAGAAGCTAACAGCTTAGTGATACTCTCATCAGATAACCGAAGGCGAACAAGTGATCCTGAATGCTATCAGCAAGTAAATCCTCATAACCACTACTATATACAATCGTTTGCAGTAAAAGTTTGCAATTTGAACGCATCCAAATGCCAGATTATGCCTAAGGGCACATTCTTTTTAAAACGAACTTGTTCTACACAACTTCTACCAAATAAAAGCAAGGATCAAAATAAACGTCCATCAAATGGTACAATTGGAGTGGAATGGATATGAAGGATTCACATAGACGACCCAACTAGTTTAGAATTGAGGTGTGTTGATTGATTGACTTGGTTTTGTGCATAATACCTCTCCATTTAGTTGCACACCATGCCCTATCCCTCTACCCCCAACACACACAAAGCAAGACTGCATGCTTCAGTTGACAAATTCAACAAGAAGAAGTGAACAAACAGTTTTTTCAAGTTTCGAGAATTCAGAGTTAAGAAAATCACTAGAAGCCCATGATTACTTCACGTCAGCTGTCAAACACAAAGAAGGGAAAAGATAAGATTATACCACTCATGCAGAGCAGAGAAACTCTACAACTTAAAAACTGTGCTATCATTTGGAAATGAATAAAATAAATAGACAGGTATAACCTCTTAGAGCATTGTACAGAAGTTTCTCAGCACTCTCCTGTGATTCTTTATACAGAAGATCATGAACCAAGGACTTCCCCTTTGCTTCTTCAGCTGATAAACCTGTCAATTCCACGACCTTTTCATTCCACCCATTTATGCGGCCATTGACATCAACACCAAATATGGGAGCTGTTGCAGTTTCAATCAATCTAACCATTTCTCTGGCAACAGAACTCAGTTCATCTATCCCTTGCAACTCCATTTCCCCAAGTGCATGCACAATAGCCTTAGAATTACTTGCCTCAGCATCCTTAAATGAATCTCGCAGAATTAGCTGCAAAGAGTGGATTGCATCCATTTCGGCATTTTCCCATGGTGAGCTCCGGCTTTTAACAACTTCCAGAAATGCCTTGAAGGAAGAACGTGGATGCATTCTCTGTCCATCATCCTTGTCTTCAGGATGATGCTTTGCACCACCCCACTTTATTTCTTTCGCTGTGTGGGAGCGAAACCAAAACAAAAAATCTTTAGAAGTTATATAAGCGACAGCCATACCACAAACTGCATCACCAAGTGAAGCTGCTCCAGGATACCCAGCATCAGCCAAACTGTCAGTACTTAAACCTGTTGAGTCTCCATGGTAAGCCAATAACCACTCCACAATGTCCTTTATCTGAGCTTCAGTTGGTGTGACGCCTAATGGGTAGTACTTCCGCTGGTAGTATAGAGCAGCACCATCGCACTTCACAAGGTCCATAATACTGGGGCTTTGGGTAACAATCCCCGGTGGTGAGTCTCGAAGGAGCATGTCACATAACAGTGTTTGAGTCCTTAAAACATGTTTCTCAGACAACTGTGATGCCAATTGCAACTCCATGTTCAATTGGAGTCCAAAGGCCTGCATAAGGAATTCACATGCATACCTAAGAGGAAAAGGAATGGACCGAACAGAAGTGTGGTGTCCAACAACCAAGCCCCACAGCCTCATTGAATTTCGGCCACCCCCAACAGCTTCCTCATCATTTCCATTGATAATAACTGCCAGTGTTAATGAGGCGATAGACCCCATATTTGCCATGTACTGTGCATGGCAACCATGAGGTGCTCTAAGTGTGGAACCAACTAGACATAAAGGCTGCATCAGTGATTCATCCTGAGTAACCCGCACAGGGGTAGCATGGCAGTCCACAATCATTCTCACCCTGTTCTGCTTAAACAAAAACCGTGAAGCTTGAGGAATATCTGTAGCAGGATAATGCAAACCGATATAGGGCTCTAAATCTGATCTTTTACTCTCAGCCACTACCTCTCCATGTTCATCCTCATGAAATTTATATACCATAACCCTGTCATACCCGGTTAACTCCCTGACACTCTCAACAACAGTATCACACAAAAGCTTAATGTCCCCACCAGGAAGTGATTGCAAATGAGAAATAGCCCTCACTGCAAGTTTCTGTGACTGCACGGCTCCAGCAATAGATAAAGCAGGGTCCTCAGTTCTAGCAGGCTCCAAATCAATGACAATACCTACATCAACCCTGTGCAAAATTGCATAAAAGGGCTTTCCAGAATTCTTGGAATGAATCCAAATTGGGTTGAGTAAAGTGATCTCACGTGCCCCGAATGCTCTTTCTAGCAAAACAGAGCTAGAAGGGGTAAAAAGGGTCCTAACATCAGTTCCAACAGTGAGGATCTCAGACTTGTCTAGGCTTGGAACAGATTGTGGAGTTAAACTAAGCATTTCACAGGCATTTTCACTATAAGCTATAATACGAAAACTAGCCTCATCTACAGCTATCATACAACCAAAAGGCTGAATATGACCTCCTCTTTGAATTTTAGTCAAATAAGCAGTAATTTGCCTTTCAGGCACAGATTGTGTAGTAGTTTTAACAGACTGTGAATAATCAAAAGACTTTCCAGACTCACCAGATTGTTCAAACACAGCATGAAGCCTAGCATCAGCTGTGTATTGTGCTATAGCTTTGCTTATTGAATCTTTGTAATTCATATTACTTGTACCTGAAGATTGAGCTTGACCTTGTGATGAATTATGATAAGAATGCTTTGTTCTACTTCCAGAAGCCATTTTTCTCTCTTCCAAACAAAATTTTTCTTGCTATTACATAGAAAAACTTGTCAATTTCAAAACCCTAAAACAGATTACTTTTGGGAAACTCAAAAAAGATTGAATTTTTGGTTGAATACACAAATGGGGTTGTCATAATTTTATACTACTAGTAATTGAAGCAATATGGTGGACCTGTTTATCCAACAGTATTTTTTTTTTTGGTCTCCAATACTTTTTTACCCTCAAATTTAAGTCCAAAAATAATCATAACTTAATTGGTTGATTGAGTAGCTGTATTTTTAATTTGCCTAAGACTAATACATACTCATGATCCTCAAGAGAGTGATTGTGACCTTTTTTTAACTTTGAGTGTGTATAATAAACTATATAATATTAACTGTTTTATCTTGCATGAGGTTCTAGGTCTATTATGTCTATTTATGCACACTCGAAATTGGAGGGCATAATTATACGCTAAAGTTAAGTTAAGGTTGATGTTATTAACGATTATAACTTTTACAAAAAAATAAACAAAACACAAGTTCAATTTCATAAAGTTCATATAAAATAAAAAAACATTTGGAATATATGGGGAGATGCCTGGTAAAAGTTTCTTGAAAGATTTCCAAGAAATTTGAGGGAATATGTTAGAGAAGCAAAAAAGAAATGTAGTGTGTTTGTTTGATCAGAAATGAAGGGGAAAAAACAAAAGAGGTGGGGGGTCTATTTTTTGTTTGAGCCTATGCTTTGATTGTGAGTGAACCTTTACTTTTGTGTTGTAAAAATAAAATAAATAGAACTTATTAATAATTGGTCTTAATATTAAGATATGAAAACATATATGTGGATATAGTGAAATGGGAGTATGTTGTCAATAAATGTAGGGTTGTTTTATGTGATTGAGAATTCATGTTTTTGGAGTTGGCCACATCCACATGGGTTGATTATTAGATTGACCATTTTAAGAAATAAAAAATGTTTGTGATTATTTGGTAGAAGTAGTAATTGAAAGGAGGGGAGTGTGTAAATTTTATTGAATCTAAATCTATCTAAGAAAGAAAGAAAGGGAAAAAGAAGAAGATAAAAAGATGATATAGTATAATGGAAATGGTGGGGGCAAAGCAAAGTGATGAGTATTCCCTTTCATATCACATTGCCCCTCCCACGTGAAGGCTAGTACTATTATTGACACACAACCAATTCCTCCCTTTCTCCAATTATTCAAATGAAACAACACACAACATGGGTGTGTTAGCCATGAATGAACCTTCAATAAAACAAGATAGACCTTACAAATACACAAATCTATGGATGCTTTGTCAATTGAATCCATGCATTTCGAAACTAAAAGTTATTGAAGAGTCTCACGTCGGATGAAAAGAAGAAAAGACAAATGAACTAGTTATACAAATATTCTTATTACATTTATTATATTCTCCCTGTGGTTTGAAATAATTACATATTGTCTCCTTAGTTAATGATTTCAACTCAGATATACCTAGATATATGTATTTTTGCTATCAAATACAGTCTGAGATATAGATACATAAGGAGAGAGGGGAGCGAGAAAGTCAGTGTATCATAAATACAAGTGAATCACACGAGATACATTTATCGGGATATTGGATACATTCTAAAAGTACATGATATGATACGTAGGGAGAGATACAAGTGAGAGAGGCGGGGGAGAGAATTAGTGTATCGAATGCATGTTATTCCACTTGGATGTTAAGTATCTGATACAAATTACACATAATTTTGACCTCATGTATCTTTGAATGCGCTAACGACATATAATCGGGATATTGAAATCTGGCACGAATGATCATTATCGAAGACTTGCAAGAACACGTATAATTAGGGCCTATACTAGTGGAATTTGTGTTGTTTTAAAAAAAAAACAAAAAAAAAACAAATGAGTCATCTCCTTATATAAACTTGAGTAATTCTTTCTGTTATTTGTAGTTTTGATGATTTGACAAACTTAGGGACCTCATAAAGGTACCGGGTTTTCTACTTGAGTATTGCAGGTGTCTTCTTTGAAGTATTGCAGATGAAACAAACCCAGGGACCTAGTAGAGGTACCAGGCCCTCATGATAATAAGTCAGTCAACTGCCAGCTGGAGACGTACAGAAAGTAGGTGCACACTTTCCGATGGCGTCAGAAAAGTGTGACCTTTCCAACCAATGGCAAAGAAGTTTAGGAAAGTGACTTGCCCATATAAAAGGCACTTTCCTAAACATTTGTTGCTTAGTTTTTGCAACTTGAGAAACACTTTTCAAGAACTCTTGCAAAGGTTAACACAAAGCATATGCAGAATCATTCCTAGGACAACAGCAACATCTGGAGCTTTTCGTCTAGTTGTTTAGGAATTTATTCTCTTGTTCTTAAATTGTAAACCATTCCTAAATCTATAAAGGAATTGGTGTGTTGTGTTAAAAGTCTAGGTTGTCCAGGTGGGATAGCTTAGTGGGTAGATTGTTTTTCTACTTTGGCTTGTTGAGCAATAGAGGTCTGTTGCTTAACGATAAGATTGATAACTCTTTCTTACGTTTGGTGTAATCGTGTTTCGCTTTTGCTTTTGAAGATTAGTGAAAACGATTGAAAATCCTGTGAGACAGACCGTGGTTTTACTCCCTTAAGCAAGGAGGTTTCCACGTAAAATCATTGTGTTGATTTTACTGCATTTAACTTTCTGGTAATTTTCTGAATTAAAGTAAGGGACCTGGTCCATTACTCGTTAAGTGAAGGCATACATTCTATCACTTTCCTATTGAGTTAGCTAACTTTTGGGGTTGGGGTTGAATTAGACCCGATATTCATTACTTAATATGATATCAGAGGACCAAGATCCATTTCTTCTTGATACATACAATTACTAAAAATTCTTTTATGAAAGAGCAAACAGATTGAAAGAATCTCCTTGTAAAGTTGAAATCAGGTACAACAATGGAATGACTTATTTCTTTATGACATGAAAAGAGAGAAAAACAAACACTTGAGTCGTGGAACTAAGAATTGATCATAAATGATAAACTTTTCTAGTAGGAATCTCCCTAACAACTTACAAAATCATCATAGGAGTCCTTTGGAGTAGTAGAAACACTAATCTAACACATGAATAAAACACTCACACACAACAAAATGGCTAACCAAATGATTTGAATGAAAACTATAGATTGGGGGCAGGCAACTTTCTGCCTCTTGTTATGGGGAGACTCTTCACTTTGTGTAGAGGACATCTTCCCATGGATGACGATACAATGGCTGCTTCAATCTCTTCTGGTCAAATGTGTGTCTGACATTTCAAAAGTTACACGACAATCAGAATCTAGCTATCATAAACAAGAATTACCGATGGTGAATCTAAAATGGTGATTAAGCATCATTATGTAACTTACCCTATAAGCCCAATTGAACGAGCCAGCACGAAAAGTCCATTGAGGTAACCAATCCCCACTATTTCATCAATTTCTGGCTTCGTGAACATACCACTGCCCGCAAGGAGATCCAAGAAGAGGGATCCGATGGCACCATCAACGTTGAGGACTAGGTTGTTTGCCTTTGAGAGTGTGTAAGTTTCAACCTGAACAGCATATTCCATGTACTTAACAGAAGGGAAATTTTCCCTAGCATAACGCTGCAGTAGTTCCACTCTCTTATCTCTATTGTCACCTCTTTTAATCCTGTTACACAAGAAGTAGATGTGGCACGTCAAATAAAGTCTAGAAGCATGCTGACCCTACAAGTTCAAAAGAATTCCAAGTACATCATTTAATTCTACAATTGTAGGATATAATCAAGAAGCTACAATATATCCTACCTGTGGCCAATTCCTGGAACTCGAATGCCTTTTTTCTTCATACTTTCTACAAACTCATATGGAGTAAGACCCTGCAAATACAAAGCATTTGAAAATATTTATTCATCTGGACTCAAAAGAAACCAGCAGGAACTGCTTCTAGACTGATGAGTGATTAGGGAATGCTCATAAATCATAAGCCTTACCTTGTCATAAGCATCCTTGAAGTACCGGGCAGCATCATCAATAGCACCACCAAAACGCGGACCAATAGTCAGCAAACCTATTAGGAGCCACATTATTCCAGTTGTGATTGAAAAATAAATGCATATTTAGAAACCTGCAGACTACAACATACCAGAAACAAGGCAGGAAACCAGATCTTTTCCAGCCCTGGCAGTTACAATGGAATTGTGTGCACCAGAGACACAAGGACCATGATCAGCACACAACATGACACAAATCTGCCATGAAATCAGCCAAGACAAAGAATAAGGTTTATAAACAGAATAATTGTCGTTGGCAGAGACTGATGGTAGAAAGTAAGAGTTTATAACCTATGGAAAGAGTGATAGAGTTGCAACCGTAAGAACCATACCTCAATAAAACGTGTGCAATAACGTGGTAGGCTACGTTTGAACCACAAGAGGGATATTACATCACCAACACCAAGTCCCTGCTCCACAATGGATGACATGGGTACGCCAGCATAGCAAGGCTCTTCACCTGTGAACAGAAATTATAATTGTAGACACAATGAGCATCATTTCCGATTCTTATTTAGCCACCAAAAAAAAAGCATTGATCATTGACTGGAGACAAGTGAGGTTTGCACAAGTGGTTGAGCACCTTCACCATCGACTGGTAGGTTGAGGGTTCGAGTCACACGGGAGGTTAAGTGGGAACACTATTGATCCTCTGGGAGTAGGGTAGAAAAAAAAACATTGATAGGAAGTACGCAAATCCAACTCTACCTCTATCGTCAGATATTGTGGAAATGATATGAGTTGGGGCCCGAACTTTCCCACTCTTAATTGCCGTGCTAAGATCCTCAGGTATTTGAGGAGGTGTAATTTCCTTTACAGGAGTAGTCTTTCCTGCTTCAACCTGCCAAAACAATACGGAGTGGTGTTAGAACTAATAGCAGAGTAAAAGGCATAAAAAAGCAATCTCTGCTGAATATCAAGATACTCACTAGCTTTTCAAATGCATCTT